CTACTCATCCGTCGGCCGCCCACTCGGTCAGTCGACACGGACGCGGTGCATATGACGGCACAACTCGGTCATCGCGACGCTGTTTCCATTGTGTGTGTGGTTAGGCGGGACGAATGTGGCTTTGTATGAGGGCCGGATGCCCTGGACGAAGCAGCACGCCTACCGCACCTCCTACCGTGAGATGTCGTGCAGAACAGCCGTCCCCCGAACCAGGCACGCCTTGCAACATCATGCAAAGGAGAATGTGCGTGAACGTGTCACGGTCGGGGTGTGTCAATGGATTGGATTGGCGTTCAGGGATGGCGGTGCGGGTGGGCGGGGCAGCTTCCTCAGCGGCAGCGGCGTCGAGAAGCTCTCTTTGTCCCTCGCCAAGGGCCCCAAGGGCGAGTCGGCTGGTGCGGCTGACACCTCTGCGAATGAAGTGAGTGGACAGCTGTCATTCTACCCCGGCCTCCCGTCGTGGAGCCAGCAGCATGGTTACCGCACAACGTACCGCGACATGACGACATTGACGCGAGTGGATCGGATGGACCCCATCGAGGCCATCGAGTCCGAGCCCCTGGCGTCCTTCTACATTACATGCGGGCCCTCAACTCAGAGGGCGACCGGACGGCCCCATTCTACCCCACACTGCACCCATCCAACCCCAGATCGGTCACGGGCACACCAGAGGGAGCGACAGCTGCTGGGAGGATCACCCACACGGCCAACCTGCTGGCCTCCCGGCGGCCCGTCACCGCCCCCACGAGCGTACAGGTGGGACCCGTGGACGTAGCCAGCTTCAGAGAGACGGCCAAGGAGGCCACCGAGTTTGAGAAGACCAACGGACGCATCCACAGGGACGCAGGGTGAGCAATGAATAAGTGTATGAAAGTCGTTGGCCATGGGGGCCAGGAACATGAGGCAGCCGCTGTGTTTGTGTGTTGTTCAGTTTCGATTTGTTCTTTGAGAATCTGTGGAAGTACCAGCCGTCGCAGGCCAAGGTGCCCTCCCGGCCGTCATGCTTCGCCCCATGGGTCGGCCGACCGGGGAGGGGGAGGGGAGGGGCAGGGGAGGGGGGGCACATGCCACAGAGAGACAGGCACAGCACAGCTGGGGCCTGCCTGGCACGCGCACACGTGTGTGTGTGTGTTTAGGTGACTCCCAAGTATTTGCGTTTCCCCGCCAGGCGGCAGGCGTACGACAGCTACGCAAGCAAGAAAGACACAACGACCAACTTCATTCCACAAAGTCAGTCAGCCGGGGAGGGGGAGGAGAAGACAGTCAGTTAGCTCCGGTCTCTTGTTTCTATTCCATTGCAATGGGTGTGTTTGTGGGTGTGCAGGTGCCACGCTTGATTCAGACAAGTGAGTCAGTCAATGCAGTAAAAGGCGCAGGCAGCAATGAGGCCACCCTTATGGACGGCTGACCCCTTGGGTCGTGCGCCTGTCTGGATGTACATCACTGTCTGTCTGTCTGTCTGGTGCGTTGCCCCGTCAGGTTCAGGGAGTTCCACAAGCGGACCAAGCTCGACTCGGGTGAGTGAGCACCTCAGACACCCACCGCACACAACACAACACAGCACAACACAACACAACACCCACAACACACTGCCGGACACAGCACAGTCGAGTGTCTTGTCTTCCACTGATCGACTC